TCTCTATATTCTTTGTGTAGTTCTAAAACTTTGGTTATTGCTTTACCTGTAAACTTAGCATGAAATATCAATATTCTACTAAATGTTACCTTCCTAATAGTTTCACAATTATTTTTTTTTAAATTTTTAATTATTTTTTATTTCTTTGAGAAGGAGTTTCACTCTCTAGCCCAGGCTGGAGTGCAGTGGCGTGATCTCAGCTCACTGCAACCTACCCTGCCAAGTTTAGCAATTCTCATGCCTCAGTCTCCTGAGTATCTGGGATTAGAAGCAGGCACCAACATGCCCAGCTAATTTTGTATTTTCAGTAGAGATGGTATTTCACCCTGTTGGCCAGCCTGGTCTCAAACTCCTGGACTCAAGATCTGCCCACCTCAGCCTCCCAATATGCTGGGATTAAAGGCTTGAGACACCATACCTAGCCCCCAATCACTTTTAAACCCTGAAATGTGATTATTGATTATGCAATTAAACCCAAAAATATTGATTTTAAGTCCAACAAAACTATACCCTCCCTAAAGAACAAAAACTGACCCTTTTATTTGACAGAATACATTAGAATCCACAAAAAGGAGCTGCAATAAATAATTATTTACTTTCATCAAATATAATTAAAACAGCAAAATTGAGTGAATGCCTACTTCAATTTCTAAGTTTATTGTTACCAAGCATAGATAAATTCACTGGTAAATTTTTACCAAAGATTTAAAGAGAAAAGAACACCAATTTAATAAAAACCCTTTCAGAAAATAGAGAAGGTATGAATACTTCCACGCCATTTGATGAAAACAGTGTTACATGAGCAAACAAGAAAAAAACCACAGTCAACTATTTCTCCCAAACATAGATGCAGTACTGTAATACATTTTAACAAACGTAGCAAATATGATTCAAGTAATATATTAAAAGACAATATAACATAATGAAATGGATTTTATAACAGGACTGCTGGGTTGCTTTAATATTCAAAAGTAAAACTATATTATATGTGCAGAAGAAAGGAAACAAAACACATAATGATCCCAGTTGATCCAGAAAATCACATATGGCCAAATTCGGCATTGTTTATGCTAAAAAGCTCTCTGCAAGCTAGTAGTAGAGAGGAAATTCCTAATCTGATACAGAGAATGATTTTAAAAAAAAAAAACCTACCAATAACTTACTTACAGCTGAAAAACTAATTTTAGTTTTCTCTATGATTTTGCAGAAGGCAGGGATTTCTACCATCGCCTCTTCTAATCAACAATGGAAAAATCTAAACAATTTACTAGATGGGAAAATGAATCAAACACATGCACATTGGAAAAGAAAACTAAAAGCTGTCTTTATTCTCAGACAACTTGATTGTGTACATAGAAAGTCCTAATAATCCCACCATAAAGACACCAGAAATAAAGTTTAATGAAGTCAGAGAATACGAGGTATCTATAAAAAATAATCAGCTAAAATGTATGTGAAAATGCAAAAAAAAAAAAAGTTCAAATTTGCAAAAGCACAAATCTAAAGAATTTATACTCTCCAATTTCAAGATTTACTTCAAGGCTATGGCCTTATGGTTTTCACTATTGAGTAATAAATATAAACATAAATATACTTAAAAGTAGGACAAACGAAGAATTGAAAAAGGATGATATTAATTTAGCAAATAATGTTGTAGTGGCAGATTCTACATTGGACCTCAATACTCCTCCTGGTCCCTTGGATACACACCTTTGTATAATTCTCTATCCATGACTATGGCTAGGACCATTTACTTATTTGTTAACTTGTTTAGAGATGGGGTCTCACTCTGACACCCAGGCTGGTGTCCAGGGGCACAATCATCACACACTGCAGCCTCCAACTCCGACTCCTGAGCTCCATATTCTCCCACCTCAGCATCCTGAACAGCAGCTGGTACTACAGGCAAGCCCACAACTCACAGCTAGAGACTTTTATTATGGAAAACAAAACGACTTGTTATTAATTTACTTTTTAACACAGGTGAAGGAATTTCACTGATGTAGATGTAATTCAGGTTCTAAATTGGTTTACTTTGAAGTTAGGAAACGGGATTATCTTGAGGAGATGGGGCAACCCGGGTGAGCCTTTGAAAGACTGGACCATTCCTTCATGAAGAGATCTAATTTGGAAAGCCTGCAGCAGGGACCCTAGAGCCAGACCAAGAGCAGTGCTCAGCTGTCAGCCAGCAAAAAAGTGAGGGCTTCAGTTCCACAATTCTAAGGAGCTAAATTCTGCCAACAACCCGAATGAGAATGGAAGACGACTTTTTCTTCAGTGTCGCCTCTAGTTGGGGATGTGGCCAGCTCATACCTTGAGTTTACTCTTATGAGACCCTCAGCAGAAGACAAAGCTAAACCATGCTGAACTTCTGGCCCACAGAAACTGTGAGATAATAAATATGTGTTGTTTTAAGCCACTAAGTATGTGGTAATTTGTTACACAATAATCAAAAGCTAATGATAAAAATAAATAAAATAAATACATAAACCGATAGTGTGCATAATTCATAATAGAACAATGTAAAAAATACTTTTAAAAAGTCAGAAACAGAGACATAACTTTTTCCCAACACTTTGCTGGAGCTCCTATCCAGTATGGTGGATCAAGGGAAAAAAATCAATAAAACTAAGACTTTAAAAGGAATAATTTTGTCTTTTTTTGCAATATAATTGTATACATGAAAACCCAAGAAAATCTGCAAATGTACAATACTACTACAAAGTTCAGCAGAGTTGCTTGATTTATACAAGCAAGAAGCAGTTGTAAAGTGGAATATGTTAAAACATAATGTTTAAAATCACAGCCAAGTCTATCATTTGCCTAGGGATGTATCTATGTCACCTTTACGTAGAAAAAAAAAGATATTAATTTATTAACAGGCATTAAAGAAGATCCCTCAAAGTGAAAAGATGGCACAGTATTATATAAATATCCATTCTTTCCAAATCAGTGTAAAACTTCATTGAAATTCTTGAAAAATTACTAATAGGCTTTTTTGGTTGTTGTTGAACTTGACAAAATAAATCTATGTGAAAAAGCATGAGAGCAAATATATCCAAAAAGTTTATGAAGAAAAAAGTGTGCATACTGTCTTATCAGATTTCAAAACATCTCATGACTATTATGAAAAATAACACAATATTATTAAAACAGATATAATAAATGGGCTAAACAGAACATGGGGAACTTAGAAATAAACACATGCTTTTATGAAAACTTGGTATATTACAAACATGTCATTGCAGACAAATGGGCATGAGTACACAATTTAATAATTGAGACAATTGTTTATCCACATGGAAAATAAATGTCCTCCTCCTCCATACACAAGGATTAATTGTATTAATGATGTAAATGCAAAAAAAAACAGTTTTTCAAATACTTACATAGGAGAATATCTTTATGACTTTAGGGGAAGAAAGGACTTTTAAAAGCTTGGCATAAAACATTATTAAGGAAACCATGAATTATAGAACCAAACACAGCTTCTGTGAATCAAGACACCATAATAGTCACAGACGAAAAGACGAAAATTGAAATACATGCAATTTCCAAGTGATTAATAGCCCGAATAAAACAATGAGTAAGAAATACCCACACAATACAAGGAAGAGATACAAGAAAAAAAGTAATGTAAAAGGAACTGTCCATGGTGGAAAAATATAAATAGAAACCTACTTCTTCAGGATATCATGGCTTCCTCATAAACAACTTTCAATATCTTCCATATAACTTATATAATGTGGAAACTTGTATCACGAATTAGGAAGAACTACAAAGAACAATTTGCATAGCTGAATTCGATGTAAACTATCATTCTGAGGGAAGCTGTTCTCTTTCCGGGTCCACACGGGTCGTAGTTTTAAGAGCAAGAACTTCCCAGCACCGTGCCCCTCCCATCTCTCTCCATCCAGGAGATTTAATGGTTTATATTTGAATTTTATGGTCTAGGGAAGAAACTAAGAGTCAGTCACCCCAGTGGAAGTTCTGAGGAACTCCTTTCATTGGCCTGGGGTCTTGGAGAAGGCGGGGTTCCTCCCAGGTTAGAAGCCCCCTTCTTCCACACCCCTTCGGACTGCATGTTTGGGTCCCTTCCAGGAACACTCCCTTGGTGGAAGCTGTCTTTCCCTCTCCTGGATTTCCCCTCTGGAGTCCCCTTCCACACTCTCTCGTGGAAGCCTGTCTTCCCCCCTAAACTCCATCTCTCTATTCCCTTCCACTCAGTGTGGAAGCTGCTTTCCTCTCTTGGGTTCCATCTTTCTGGATTCTCTCACTCGGTGTGAGAGTCAGCTGTGTCTCTCACTACCTAAATAAAATCCCTTTATCCAACACTTCCTAAGTCCGACATTTACTGCGCCCTGGTCTCCTCTCATTATTTTTTTATTTATTTATTTATTTTTTTTTTTTTTGAGACGACCCAGGCTGGAGTGCAATGGTGCGATCTCGGCTCACCACAACCTCCGCCTCCTGGGTTCAGGCAATTCTCCTGCCTCAGCCTCCCGAGTAGCTGGGACTGGAGAAATGTCCTCTCAGGGAAACCAAGGGCACCCTGAACCCCTAAACCCCAATTTTACATTTGGCGAGCCAGCCAGAAGAGGGGTACACAAAAAAGGGGTACGGCCAGAAGAGGGGTACAGCCAGAGAAAGAAAGTTAAAATCGTGAGTAAAACCGGCCCCATTGTCCTGTCTCTTTAAAAATCTCCTGAAGGCGCGGCCGGGCAGGGCTGAGGGGAACCTGAGCTCGCGCCTCAGAGGCCCGACCCAACCAAAGTTAAAAGCGCAGTTTTTTTTTACCTCCAAGCTCTCTCTCCGCGTTCCTCTCCTTCTCTATCCTTCGGATATTATCTCCGGGACCAAAAGCTGCCGAAGCCTGTGGGGTGGAAAGGGCGAGCACTCCCCACTCTCTGCTCATTGCTGGCGAGGAACAGCCCAGCCCCGGGCGCAGAACCGCGCATGCGCAAAGTCTGGTCAGAGGAAAAACAACGGGGAGGGGCAGGTTCAGCCGGAGTCTGCAGGGGGCCGAGCGCCACGGTCTGAGGTTCTGTCAGGCCTCCCGGGCGTTCTCCAGCCTCTCCCGGGCGTTCTCCAGCCTCTCCCGGGCGTTCTCCAGCCTCTCCCGGGCGTTCTCCAGCCTCTCCCGGGCGTTCTGCAGCCTCTCCCGGGCGTTCTCCAGCCCTCTCGGGCGTTCTACAGCCTCTCCTGGGCGTTCTGCAGCCTCTCCCGGGCGTTCTCCAGCCTCTCCCGGGCGTTCTACAGCCTCTCCCGGGCGTTCTCCAGCCCTCTCGGGCGTTCTACAGCCTCTCCCGGGCGTTCTGCAGCCTCTCCCCGGCGTTCTCCAGCCTCTCCTGCGTTCTCCCGTCCCAGGCAGCAGGGTAAGAAGCGCTTCCCCAGGACGTTGGCCTGTTGGCCGCGGGTCCCTCTGTGGGCAGCGGCTCACCTGGTTCTGGCGGGGTCACCCTGGCAAGGGAAGGTGGGTTAGGGGAGAGGAGGCCGGGTCCTGAGGGTCCTTAAGGACATTTTCCTACAAGGGAAGGTGGGTTAGGGGAGAGGAGGCCCGGGTCCTGAGGGTCCTTAAGGGCATTTTCCTACAAGGGAAGACGGGTTAGGGGAGAGGAGGCCCGGGTCCTGAGGGTCCTTAAGGGCATTTTCCTACAAGGGAAGACGGGTTAGGGGAGAGGAGGCCCGGGTCCTGAGGGTCCTTAAGGACACTTTCCTACAAGGGAAGACGGGTTAGGGGAGAGGAGGCCCGGGTCCTGAGGGTCCTTAAGGGCATTTTCCTACAAGGGAAGGTGGGTTAGGGGAGAGGAGGCCCGGGTCCTGAGGGTCCTTAAGGGCATTTTCCTACAAGGGAAGATGGGTTAGGGGAGAGGAGGCCCGGGTCCTGAGGTTCCTTAAGGACATTTTCCTACAAGGGAAGGTGGGTTAGGGGAGAGGAGGCCGGGTCCTGAGGGTCCTTAAGGACATTTTCCTACAAGGGAAGGTGGGTTAGGGGAGAGGAGGCTGGGTCCTGAGGGTCCTTAAGGGCATTTTCCTACAAGGGAAGACGGGTTAGGGGAGAGGAGGCCGGGTCCTGAGGGTCCTTAAGGACATTTTCCTACAAGGGAAGGTGGGTTAGGGGAGAGGAGGCCGGGTCCTGAGGGTCCTTAAGGGCATTTTCCTACAAGGGAAGGTGGGTTAGGGGAGAGGAGGCCCGGGTCCTGAGGTTCCTTAAGGACATTTTCCTACAAGGGAAGGTGGGTTAGGGGAGAGGAGGCCGGGTCCTGAGGGTCCTTAAGGACACTTTCCTACAAGGGAAGACGGGTTAGGGGAGAGGAGGCCCGGGTCCTGAGGGTATTGTTCTGTCCTCAGCCACATGGCCGGCCTTCTTTAAAGTGTGTGCTCTAATGGCCCCTTCCTAGAACTTTACCCTTCTGTGGCGGTTTTATAAATCGGCCCATGTGAATTGGGCTTTGGCTGGGGAACATTGGTACCCAGCTCCTGAGCCTCACTGGCCTGGTTCAAGGACCCCTTGGCAGGAACCACTCAACCCAAGCGTCCCTTCATGCCTGTATAGTGGTCCCTGGAGGTCATGCAGATGGTGAGCCTGGGTCCTATCATGCTGGTAGGTCCCAACTAAAACCCAGTACGCTGACAGCCCTCTAATAAAGTAAATCACGCATACTGGGCACACAAAATGCCGGGTTCTGACTGAAAAACGTTTCATTTCAGTGCCTGTTTTACCTAAGAAACGCCTTAGGTTGACGCGGCTGTAATTTCTTTTACTGGGAATGCTGGCATTCTTTGTATTCAATTTCAGATGAGTGCCAGTCTTCCCAAGCTCAAGTCCCCATTAAGGTGTATACTGGAAAATTAAAACCAATTTAACACACAGTCTTTAAAAAAAAACAACGCTCATTTTTCACGGCCAGACAGCGTGGCCGAATTACCCCCTGCTAAGTGGAAAACCTAACCCCCAAAGAGCAGAAAAAATACCCCAACATCTTTCCTTAAGCAATTGGGGAAGGCCTTAAAACAGTTCACCTCCTTGTCGCCAGACTCCATTAAGGGTCGGTTAATACTAAAGAACAAGTTTATTACTCAATCAGCAACAAGTATCAGGTGAGAGCTCCAGAAACTGGCAGAAACTGGCCTCGAGGCCAGAACAGAGCCTAAAATCATTACTAAATCAGGCAACCTTGGTGTTTTATAATAGAAACCAGGAGAAACAGGCTAAAAAGAACAGTCATCAAAGAAAGGCTGCTGCCCTAGTGATGGCTCTTAGGCAAGCAGACCCCAGGGGTTCAAATAAGGAAAAGGCTCGGGTTAGCCGCCAGTCTGGCAAAGCTTGTTACCAGTGCGGTCTAAAGGGACATTTTACAAGAAACTGTCATCAAAGGAATAAACCACCAGCTTGTCCATGCCCACTGTGCCAAGGGAATCACTGGAAAGCACACTCCCTGGTTTTCAGGGCCTGAGGTGTCTGACCAAATGACCCAATGGCAGAACTAAGGGTGTCTGAAGCCACTGCCAGCACGGGCCGTCACCCTCACAGAGCCGCAGGTGAAGCTGACCATAGAGGTCCAGGAAGCCAGTGTTCTCCTCAGCACTGCATGGCCTTCTGGGTATTTCTCTCCTGCCCTAAAGACTTGGTGCTTGTTAATTCTCTCCCCTTAAACTCTCCCTGTCTAGGCCCACCCTAGGAGGACCATTTCGGTACTCTGTCTGCCCCAGTGGCAGTTAAGGTGGTAAAAATTAACTCATGGATTCATCAGCCTTGGCTAAAGCCTTGACCACCTCCTTAAGAAAGTCATAAACCCTCCACTCCGCAGCCTGAAGTTCCAAAAGACAACCCTTCCTTATCCCTGTGAGCCATTAAAAAATCTACACCTACTTTTCCAACAAGATCCTCAGGGAAGTTACCACTCATAAGTCTAATTTATATCCTGGCATTGATAGGACTATAACCCTCAACTTTGCTATCTCTCAGACTCCAATTACCCTTTTCATAGTGGGAAGGGAACCTGCCTCTTTCTATGAAAAAAATGCTGCTGTTTTGTAAACCAGTTAAGTGTTGTTTTAAAGATAGAACTCAGGAATCAAACACAGGGCTAAAACCTTCAAGGAGCAGTATTGTGAAGCTTGTTTAGCAACTGACTGTCCTGGCTCTATTCTTTCCCAGTCTCCTTTATAACCATTTTATGTTTGTTGGCCTCTGGGCCTCTCATCTTTAACCACCTTGTCACATTTACTTCTTCTGGAACAATAAGGTCACAGATATTCCTGCTGCTAAAACCTCAGATGTCCTTTGCTCATAAGCTCTGTTGTAAACCTCTAAATCAACCTGTACCCCTGAAAAGCTCCCCTCTGGAGGAAAACTCAAATTCAGGGCTCCTTGTATGCGCCATTTCAGCAGGAAGCAGTTAAAAACAATGGACATCAGTAATTCCAACAGAAGTTGGGCTTTCCTGTTGTTGGGGGCTGGGAAGGTGTTCTGTTTCCAGGTCCACGGGGGGAGGTAGTTTTAAGGGCAAGAACTTCCCAGCACCATGCCCCCCTCCCATCTCTCTCCATCCAGGAGATTTAATGGTTTATGTTTAAATTTCATGGGCTCAGGAAGAATCTAAGAGTCAGTCACTTCAGTGGAAGTTATAAGGAACTCCTTTCATTGGCCAGGGGTCTTGGAGAAGGTGGGGCTTCCTCGCAGGTTAGAAGCCCCCTTGTTCCACACCCCTTTGGACTCCGTGTTTGGGTCTCCTTCCAGGAACATTCCCTTCATGGAAGCCATCTTTCTCTCTCCTGGATTTCCCCTCTGGAGTCCCCCTTCCACACTCTCTCGTGGAAACCTGTCTTCCCTCCTAAACTCCATCTCTCTATTCCCTTCCACTCAGTGTGGAAGCTGCTTTCCTCTCCTGGATTCCATCTTTCTGGATTCTCTCACTTAGTGTGAGAGACGCTTTCATTCTCTTTTTTCCCCCTCTGGAAACCTGCTCCCTCAGTGTGAGAGTAGCTTTTCTCTCACTCAGTGTAAAAGTTAGCGTTTCTTTCTTTCTCCTCCTTTTTCTCTCTACCTAAATAAAATTCCTTTCTACAACACTTCTTAAGTCCAGCATTTACTGCGCCCTGCACCCTGTGCCCTGGTCCCCTCTCATTCTTAAGAGAGCAGGAGATCAAGCACCTGGAGAAACATCCTCTCAGAGAAGCCAAGGGCACCCTGAACCCCTAAACCCCAATATTACAATTGCACACCACTGGTTGTGCAAGGAATTTTATCTTGTAACCAAAACTCTTGCTGATAGAGTTTTCCAGAGAAAAAGAAAATTTCCCAACATTTCCACCCTGAGTTACTTGTCTAGTCTGATTAGGGCCATCTAGACAGGGCTGGTGTAGTATCTCATTGTGGTTTTGCTTTGCATTTATCTGATGAAGAGTAACATGTAAGATTTCTTATATACTTCTTGTTTATTTGTATGTTGTCTTTGGAAAATATTAAGATCCTTTGCCTATTTTTTATTGAGTTATTTGTGTTGGCGGGGTTACTATTGTGTTTTAGGAGTTGCTTATATATTTTGAAGATTAACCTCTTACCAGCTTTTCTGTTTGCAAATACTTTTTCCCATTCCATAGGTTGTGTTTTCATTGCCGTGCAGAAACTTTAGTTTGAAGTGCCTTCATTTGTTTATTTTTTATTTCGTTGACTGTGATATTGGTGTTGTATCTGACATTGCAAAAAACAATGTCATAAACCTTTCCCCCACGTTTTTTAAGAGTTTCATGTTTTAGATCTTACATCTTTAATTCATACTGAGTTTATTTGTAGTTGTGTCCAATTTTATCCTTTTGCATTTGTCTATTTTTTCCAACATCTTTTGTTCAGGAGACAATCTTTTCTCTATTGTGTATTCTTGACACATTTTTCAAAGATCAGTTGACTATATATGAATGGATTTATTTCTGGGCTCTCTATTCTGTTTTGTCTATATATCTGTCTTTATATTAGTATCAAACTGTTTTGATTGCTTAGGATTGTAGTATATTTTTAAATCAGGAAGTGTGGTGCCTCTAGCTTTGTTCTTTGTCAAGATTGATTTGCTTATTGGCAGTATTTTGTGTTTTTATGTGAATGCTGTAATTGTTTTTCCAAATTCTCTAAAAAATGTCATTGGGTCTCTGATAAGGGTCAATATTTAGATTGCTTTGGTAGTATTTGTACTTTAACAATATTATCTTCCACATTTGTGAACATGAGATATTTTTCCATTTCTTTGTGCCTTGTTTTATTTCTTTCATTGGAGTTTTTTAGTTTTCAGTAAGCAAGTCTTTAACTTCCTGAATAGAGTTTATTACTAAATATTTTATTTTTTTCTTGATAGTGTAAATGGAATAGTTTTCTTAA